GTAGTAGTAGTAGTAGTGGTAGTAGAGGCTTAGGGGCTTAGACGCTTAGGCGCTCAGGGGCTTAGGCGCTTGACTAGACGCTTAGGCGCTTGGCATTGACGCCTCTAAGCCTCTAAACTCCTCTCTGACCGTTTCCATTAGCTTCGGCGCTGACGCTTAGGACCTTGAACGCTGAGGCTCGATTCTGTTTGGGCTTAGGCGCTTAGGCGCTTGATGGCTGGAGTGGCTTAGGCTCCTAGCTCACCTGTCTCCATTGGCTTGGGCGCTTGGACGCTTAGGAGCTTGGACGCTGAGGCTCGACTTGTTTAGGCTGAGGCGCTTAGGTGCTTGATGGCTGGAGTGGCTAAGGCGCCTAGGCGCTTAGGCGCTGAGGCACTTTCGAATGAGAGACGCCTTCAGACGCTTTCAAACGCCTGTCATCGTTGAAAACAAGGTATCTTTCGCGGATCTCTTCCCCTCCTACAACCATGTCTAGCTAACATGAGGCGGAACCGGGCACAGGATCACAAAATAGAGAGAGACATCTTGCAGCTGACCCGGTCGACCCCAGTAGATGGTTTGAACGTTTCCACAGCTGCGCACTTCTCTTTCACCACACCTGTGCCTCGCTTGTCAACGCTGAACCGCTGAGCTTTCTCGCGACTCTGCCGCGGGCGCCCCAAAAAGCCACCAAAACAGGGTGGCAGCGTGTGCAGACCTGGGTACCCCGAGCGTATTGCAAGGGTGGAGCACATCAAGAACATATTTGAGTGTATTGCAAGCAAGCCATGCATAACCACCATCGTTTTAATAGCCTTTACCGAACCACCATTGTTTGACTAAGGGTTTTTACACTACAAAAGCAGATCAACCTTGCCAAAAATTGTCTTTGACTTCCACGTGTAACCATGCAAGTTTCACAACTCATTGGATAGCAGCTGTGCGTGCCCACCCAGTGCTTATAATGATGAAACTGTTCCGCTTTGGCAAGCAACGGGAGTAAAGGGATTTGGACTCTGCAGCGTACCCGGACGTCTCTACACGGTCGATGACCAGCTGGGGTGGGCGTACATTCAACAAAGATCTTTTCGAAGAATACGCCAAGGAAGCATCGATGCGTCACGAACGCTGGCTGCCCGGTGGCTCAAAACATGCTAAAACTTGTGCACAGCCACATGCGCAGGCATGAAACCAGTATCTGCCAAACAAACACCCGGCAGCACCGTGCGAAAGAAATGCTACATTTGCGCTCTCAGGGGATGCTGGTGATGGTGTAGAAGATCTCACCCGTGACCTGCTTGGACTGGGACAGGCGATTGGGGAGCCGGCGAAGAGTCCAAAACTCGCTGCCCCAACTGCGACACTTGATGGGAATCATTCTTGTTATACCTTCCTTGATGTGAAACCTCTTGAACTGGTCTAATTTCCCGTCTTCCAAAGTGTGCTCCGCCGGGAGTCCATAGATGATCCTGAGCCGGTGATGTTGCAACAACTGATACATCATCACAAAACGTCTTTCCGCGACAAAAACCTGGACCGTGTACGCACAATGACCCACAGATTAGTCGTTTGATATTGTTTGATGGATTTCGGAATTGAGTTGGGGGTGATGTCCATGGAACTGAGGAACTACGACACAGGATGCGGAAAAACCAAAAAAACCTGCTCTGTCTGTTCACGAGTGGTGTATGATGAGTGGTGTATGATGAGTGGTGTATGATGAGTGGTGTATGATAAGTGGTGTATGATGAGTGGGGTGTGATGAGTGGTGTATGATAAGTGGTGTATGATAAGTGGTGTATGATGATTGGTGCATGATGAGTGGTGTATGATGAGTGGTGTATGATGAGTGGTGTATGATGAGTGGTGTATGATGAGTGGTGTATGATGAGTGGTGTATGATGAGTGGTGTATTGATGAGTGGTGTATAATGAGCGGCGTATTGATGAGTGGTGTATGATGAGTGGTGTATGATAAGTGGTGTATGATGAGTGGTGTATTGATGAGTGGTGTATGAACAGTTCTTGAATGTCCGTAACACGGAAGTTTCGTACACTAAACTTCCTATATATATATATATATAGAGATATTATATATATATATCACTTGTTTTCTCTGTGAGTTATGCGTGAAAAAGCACCTGTGTATCAGGGTCAGATTCAACTAGGCCTCTGTAAGAAGGTTGGCGCTGGTTGCAAACACACTCAGACGTTGAAAGCCTGCTTGGTCGGACCCCAGATGTCAAACAAATTCAATGAACACATTTTTGGGCATTGTGAATTGTCCGCCTCTTTTGTCCAAGTATCTTTCAACTCGATCAGAGCGATGTCGCCGCAGCGACACCTCCCGCTCCAGCGAGGCATGCAGCTATAGGCATGAAGCTCGCCTCCTTGGGGGGAAAGAATTCCGTCGAGGTGGACAGTGGATGGGTGAGGCCAGGGTGACCCTGTGGTCAATCTGCGTGTCCTTGAAATTCGAACACACCCATTGCTTGAGGGAAAAGTTGCGTTGACACAGTGACATATGAAGAGTGGGACAGGTCGGAGAAAAAGACACGAGAATGCCAAGACGCCTTGCGTCCGTCACACAGGTGATTGGAATTGACTGCACCACCAAAGTCCAACATTGCCAGCGGCACCTTGGAAGGCAAGTGAATTGACCATGATGCTGTCCTTCATGCATGGGTTCATATGGGCTCTTAATGACCCGCATTCCGACTTAAATGGAGTCTCCGTTTGGATAATATTTATAATACCCGTGGATTGTAAAGCGTGGCTCACAAATACATCAAACGACCGAAAATTGATTGGCACATCTTGCGTCTGCTGAAAACTGCTTTCGGGATTTGAGGGTTCTCCGGGTTCACGCCATTATATTTTCTTCAGATGCCACCTGGAGCCCCACCACCTTGCCAGGCTGCAGTGCCGATCTCATGGCGTTTGGGCTCCAGGTGGTTCAGTACCACGTCTAAACGATGCCCAGGCACCTGAGACGAGAGTCCGGGAGTCGGTGAGTTGCACGGGCGCCTCCGCACCGCCCGTGGGCTGTAGTGGCACGGCTTCAGCCTCTGCGAGGGTTTATGGGTCCAACTTGTAGCCCACGTCGGCTGAGACCAAGTATATAGCTCCCAGGGAACTCCCCCAGTTGAGACTGAGACGAGCTTGGGGGGTTGTAACAAAAGTGCTGTAGTCGCATGTTAGGTGAACTGGCCAGAGCCATCTAGAGGCAATCTAGGACACAGAAAGGCAGCCAAATTGCTGCAAGACCGCACTTCCACATGATGCCAACATATCCCAACAAACTTCCAAGGCTCTGGTGCTAAATATGCGTCAAAACTATGTAGAGTAATCACCTGGGCTGGATGAGAACTTGGCAACCCCGAAATCAAAGAATTGTTGGATTGGACCTCAGGTCCGCCTTGAAAGGAAACAAGCAGGACCAGTCCGGGAGTGGAGAGATGTTCATCCAAATCGCAAAATCCTTGCAACATCTGGTAATGATCCATGGGTTGAAGAAAGATGCAGTTGAGCTTCGAGAGCCCAGAGGGGGAATGTGTCCCAAGAAGGGTGGTCACATCTGTGAGGCATCTTGAGCCCCTTCATTCTTACGATGTGTTATGATGATGTATTTACAGTTCGACAAAGCTCTTCCAAAGACCACATCATACTGCATTTCAGTCCTTCTCGCAAGCCTGCTCAACATGTTCAATGCTGCTTGAGGGCCCAATCGGATCTTCCACGTTGGCTCCACAAGCAATGAGCCTGGCTGAGTTGTAGCTCTGGGGGACTAGGCAAGCAACGGGACACTCAGGACGAATCCAGTGCGGCTGATGGCGCCGAGCTTCTCGGAGAGATGAGAGGGCCAAAGTGGGAAGTAGGAGACCTGCGGGCGGAACGTGTAGTCGGTGGAGACATGGCTTTCTTCTTAAAGTCCACTCTGCCGCTCTGCCCTCTTCCTGCTTATGTAATTCAGAAAGGGTGACTAGTTCGCTCCTGGCTAGGACGCAGCTCACGCTTCGTCAAGGAAGTTCCCCCCGCCTGAGGGCGGGCAGGAGCTTCCTTGAAGAAGCGCTCGCACTAGTGATCTGGTTCCTAGATGTTTAAGGAGACTTGACTGTCATGAACATGACGACAACTCAGCAATGTCCACAAAGACTCATGACTCATGTTGGGCATTTAGCTTTGGCTTGTATATTTATATTTGGCAATTTGGCTGTAGGGTTAAAGTTGAATCTAATCTTTTTCAAGTAGCAGCTCCATCCGCCAAAACTGTGAAACTGACTTCCCAATCAACGCGCAATTTGCCAGAGTACAAGTTGACATGCAACTGAAACATTAGCTTTAACCATGTGGTGGGTCGAGCTACCTTTTGTCTCGTATGATGAAAAAAGACAGCAAACCTACCGAGCGAAAAACATTGACTCCAAAGGATGGCTGTGAGAATCTCAATAGCCCTTTCCATCCTCCTCTGTAAGTTGTAGTGTTCTCAGCAGCAACTACATGCGAAACTTCACCGATGAAGAAAGCTTCACCGGCGAAACCTCAGAGTTTTTATGGCGGCGAATCGAGTGCCCTGCCAGCGATAGAGTGCCCTGCCTGTGCATCTGCAGAAACAGAAAACAGCTGCTGGATCTCTGCTGCTGACCCATCAGAATCATAGAAAGCAAAGTGGTCCACACCCATGGCCTGACTGAACGTTGAACAGAAGGCCAAGCAATATCTGGAACCCATGAGCTGTTGAGTTGGGAGTGTCAACATACCCCAAAGTGCCTCTCACTCCTCTCACTTGCTCACCAATCTACATACAACTACTTCCTGCGCGAGCGAGACTTCTAGGCATGCCAGGCAAACGTCCGACTCTGGTCCCACCCGAAAGCTTTAACATATGGCTGTAACATCTGGTACCACAGTCAAACAATCATCATCATCATCATCAGCAGCAGCAGCAGCATCAGCAGCACAGGGAGGTAAAAGAACATCGTCTTGGGGCACATTTTTTCCGCTTTCTCAAGCATGACGACTGTCCACCATCAAGCGCCACCAAACTGCTACGAAAAGCAATCTTTGGAGACGCGGAGTCGCTTCCGCTCCTGATCGGCATCTGCGCAAGAAGTCACATCAGCCAGGCTCCGGCGCTGCCACGTTTTCACTGCTCGCCCTTTCTTCTTTCTACGAGCGTTGTCGTCCTGTATGCCTGCTGACTCGATGACAAGCTCGAGCAGACCGACGTCCACCAGCTCTTGCGCCACTGCAATGATGACGTCGGTCTTCTTGCAGGGCTCCATTGCAGTTCTATTCCGGATGCAAAGGCGGACTGCCTTTTGGTCGAATGGCTTGGCAAAGGCCTCATTGGTGAGCATTTCATGCTTCAGCATGTCCCTAGGCTCCAGCGGTGGTGGTGGGGCGCTGATCCCGGTGCTACCGAGCAAGTCTGAGCTTGCCCTGCCTGCTTTGGATTCTGCCATTGCTGGTCTCATGACCGTCCGCCAGTAGTAGTAGTAGTAGTAGTAGGCGAAGTGCAAATCAATTTGCCGAAGCCATGCATGAACAGCCATGAGGTACTCATGAAGATTCGGACTCTGCCTCCTTGTCTCCTCAGGGCACGGTCCCTCCGCGGACAGAAACTGGCACTTCCTCATGTTCAGCCAAGCACCCCGCAAGGTATCCGTGTGGAAGAACTCCACTTTCTGTCTGTGGAACTTTGTGAAGTGCTCGTGCTTGGGGCTCGCTTCCACCCACTGATCCACAGCTTCGGCAACTGCTTGGTAGAGGTCAAGGCTGTACCCATCCAAGTGGGGCCTCTGTGGCTGGGCGTCGTCCATCATCACGGTGAACATGTACTGGTGCATTGCTGTCACCAAGTCATCTGCAGCATCGATGGTGATAGTCTCATCTTTTGCAGTGTTCTCTGGAGGCCATGCCATCGAACAACGCTTCTGAAAGGCATGCGCCATAGGAGCCAGCGCCTCCTCGACCACCTCCGCTTGTCCGGTGATCTTCATGGAAACCACATACATCTGGTCATCGTCGCCGATGTGGATCGCACCTGGGGCTTTGTCATATCGTCAGCCTCAGCCAGCAAGTATGTGTTCAACTTGGCCCGGTCGGCATAGTGGCGCAATGCCTGCGGATCGGCGTGGGACGTCTTGATGATATTGACACACTCATCGCTGTACAGGGCCACCCTGTGAAAGTTCAGCAGGCATGTTCTGAAGCCCTTCGGCGTATATTCTTGGGCGAAGCACTCCTTGGATCTGATTGCAGCAACCTCATTGCGCTCGTCAGCTGGGGCAGCCTTTGTCAACCACTTGTTGGTCCTCTGGATGAGATGACTCTTGCGAGCACTCGGACTGAGCCCGATCATCACACTTGTCTGTGGGTTGACTCCGATGTGTTTGGAATCAGGCCTATGTAGCCATCTTGTCTTCCGATGCCTTGGCGTCGTGCTCTTGATCAAGAGTGGCACGCCCAGAACTATATGTTATTTTTTGTTATTAAGGAAAGGCTAGATACAACAAGATGGAGCCCACGAACCCGAATGCAGACACGTTCGAAAAGCTACAAATGACACTCTTGTAGGACACTCTTGTGGGACACTCTTGTGGGTCACTCTTGTAGGACACTCTTACGGGACACTCTTGTGGGACACTCCTGTAGGACACTCTTGTAGGATTGCAGGGCCTCACAACTCCCGACCTCACAATTCCCTGCGCCTGCCACGAATCTCTCCGCGTCCACACGTCTAACGCGCAGCAAGTACTGCGCCTGCCACGAAATGTCACCTCCGTCACACCTTGCAACCGCACCATTCTCTGCGCCTGCCACGAGAATCGCACTTCCACGCCTCAAAACCCACACAAAGTATACTGCGCCTGCCACGAAATGTGGCAATATCATCTCATGTCAGCTTCAACAAAATTTGCACCACACCACATGGAGATTTCGACCCGTTCTGAGCACGCTCCCATCCACCAAAATCGCCATTTCAGCTGAGACTGGTCACGAAAACAGCGCTTCGATGCCACACCCTGAAACGCAAATCCCAATGGCACGGCCACATCCAACACCCCAAAAACACGACTCTCCAAACGCTAATTCCCAATGGAACTGCGTAGCAAACTGCGGATCTCACAAAACGCTGCGCCTTTGCAGCGAAATGCATCACGTTGCTTGTGCGACATGTCAATTTCAAGCAATTCATCATGGAATAGCGGCGCAAACTGACACGTCACACATCCATGAAAAGTTCCTTGCAAAAGCTTCCCCCAATGGCAGCGCCTGAGCGTCCTCTATACTGCCAACGGTTGCGAACCGTTGCGGACGGTCGCGGACGGTTGAGGACGGTTGCGGATGTAGAAACAACGGGTCGCGAACAAGGCTCTACCCTGGTCTGTTAAATTCACGCAAGACACTCCAGGAAGCTCAGCTGCGCTTCCAAGCACAAATGCAAGGCCTCTGGCCATATCTTCTCCTTCAGCCCGATTTGCTTCACTGCCTGCATCCACACAACTGGCCCAATCTTCAGCAGGTCGAACTCGGCATCCAGAGTACACTCGCCATGGTACCAAGTTGCGTTCAAAGCCCTGTCCAGTCTAGCTTTGATGGTCTGGATACACTCGGCACGGTTGCGGAAACCTTCAAACAAGTCTCCGCGAAATAAGCATGGCTGTATCTGATCTCGACTGGTAGCGTTCACGATGGTCACTAGCATGGCCTTTATAGGGTCCTGCTGGCCGGCGTTCTTCTCTTGTGTGGCTCTCTGCCATGCGTCTTGCCATCCCAAGTGCTGCGGGGAAAGCTGGAGCCGCTGCTGCGGTGAGAGCGGCGACTGTTGCGATGAAGCTGTTGATGGTGCCACTGCAACCTGAGGCTACTGTTCGGCCCACCAAAAAAGGCCGCGCTCGCACCGTCAAAGTTGGGTGGCTGGGTGGCCAAAACCCAAAGGAAAGAAAAAATACATGAAGTGAAGAGGAAGGACACGCTGCTGCGGTGAGAGCGGCGACTCTTGCGATGTTGATGGTGCCACTGCAACCTGAGGCTACTTTTCGGCCCACCAAAAATGCCGTGCTCGCACCCTCAAAGTTGGGTGGCTGGGTGACCAAAACCCAAAGGAAAGAAAAAATGAAGTGAAGAGGAAGGACCAAGCAACTTCTGTCAAAGGGATGTTGGGTGGCGTGAGGACATCTTCATCCTTGGCGACGGATGAGATGAGGAAGCTGGGCGACGGTGCATCCGGCGCAGGGGTCTCTTCGCCCTGAGCAGTCTTCCAAGACGACACGGCAGGACTCAGGACACATGATTCTGAGAGCTTAGTGGCGTAGCCAAACAATGAACTTTTTCCACGTATATAAACAATGAGACGGGCAGAGTTGCACATAAGCAGCTCTTAGAGTATTGTTGCGTCAAGGCTTGAGAGTGATGAAAAGCTCACGCGCGCGCTATATGTGAAGCCAAGCCTCTGCTCTGTCGGGGAAGCTGGGCGGCGATGCTTTCAGCGAAGAGTGATCATCGTCCTGAGAAGTGACTCAAGGTGCACAGCCCTACATAAGATAAAGCTATTTTTGGCCAGGGTGGCACAGCTCTCAGGCGCCTTTCTTACCGATGACAATATGAACCCAAAGGCTACATGTATATGGAAGCCTCTTCGACATCAAGTGTAAAACCACTCAGCATGAAAGGCATTGCCAGGCAACTTTCTCCACCTTGGCATTCAATGGGGGGTCATGGGCGCGGAGATCTGCCTCCTCCACAGGAATGCACAGGAAGAGGGCTGGAGCAGGATGCACATCAGTTGCGTCACGCAGTGACCAAGCCTTTGCGTTCACCGGGCAGATATTTTCTTCCTCAGCAGTCACCCAAAAAACACCTGTTTATGATGGCGTAAACGGGTACTTATCAAGTCAAACCATGACAGGCGTAGCCAGGCCACTTCTTCCACGTGGGCAGTCAACGGCGAGCTATGAGCGCGGGGATGTTCGCCCTGCACAGGAACGAGAGCAGGATAGCTATTCGAGCCCTGTTGCTTCAAGGGGTTGAAGACTTGGGGGCGACCAAAAAACTAGGGTGTAAGGTAATGGAAAAAGCCATCCAAAATTCAGTCAACGGACACTAACGATTTGACTCCTGGACTTGATTTCTATCACTCCGGGTCTCCAGGACTTCACAACGATTTTGGGGCATGTACGCCAACTTCACCAATTCAACCTGCCAAAGATCCAAGCCTGTGCTGCCAAGGTGGATGACAATGCTTCCATCAGAGCTTCGTCCTGAGCAGTCAACTGAAGCCAACAAATCTTAGATAAAACTTGAAATGATCTGCAATGGCTCTGAAACACAAACGATCTTGAGCGCTGGCGGCCTCAAGTGCCTCAAGGGTGGCACTGGATTGCGAGTTCTGAGCGCGGAGATCTTCATCCTGGGAAGGAAGAAGGGGTGGACGCATTCACAAATGCACAGCAGCAGTAGCCTTGAAGGTCTGTTCTTTGGACGGGCAAGTTCTCTCGACAAATGCCTTGCCTGGTTTTAGGGTACAACACCAGCAGCATGTCTTGGCCAAAAGTGTCTCTCTCTCGAACACCAAGCAGCTTCTCCCGCTTGATGACTGGATGGCGAGCGCTGCGCACTGAGATCTCCATCCGCCTCCTGGGCAGCCCCAATAGAGGACATTTGCAAAATTGCGCATTAGGAACCTGCTGGAGAGTTATTGCGTCAACGACGACTTACAAAGCAACAGGCTGACCCCACGGCTTTTTGAAACCAAGCAACTGAGTTCATGCCAGCTCGGCGAGGAGGTGGCTACGGCCAAAAATGCTTCGTTCTCACACATCTGTTTTCTTCCTTCCTTCCTTCCTTCATTCATTCATTCCTTTCCTTCTTTGTTTCTTTCTCTCTCTCTCTCTCTCTACAATGGAAGTGAGGTTACTGGCAAGAGAGCGAGACAGGTGTCTAGAGGGTGAATCGAGGCGGATAAAATGCCGAATTTGTGACGTTCAAAAGATTGAACCCATCTACCGTGTAACAACATGGAGACCAACCTGGGTACACTTGTGGCTCTGGACCTCTGGAGAAGAACGTTCAACGTGCTCTTGATCAGGTGGGACAGGCGGCAGGTGTAACAACCCCCGCTGTGCCACCGTAGACAACATCTTGCAAGGGTCAAAGGGTGGCAAGTGGAAACAAGTAGCAGGTGTAAGAACCCCTCCTGTGCCACATGCTCCCTATGAGCCAAGCAGGCAGTGGAACCCAGCTTCCCAAGACTTCCTGTGATCAATGCTGCACCAAGAGTTTCTGTGGGCGTCAGGCGCCACAACACTTGCAACTTGCAATCCGACACTTTCAGACTTGGTGTTGGTGGGAGGTATGACATGTGGTGTGCAGCGTGTGGAGTTGTGAGAGCTGACAATGCGTGTGTGTGTGAATGCGTCAGCGTGGGGTTTAACTCCCTGCAGCGCAGTGCCTGCCACTTAAAAGAAAGGATGGCCCGCCTGACTACCTGACAGCCTGGCCTGGCCTGACACTGCCAGACTGCCAGGCCAAGGTAATTGAATCTAAAACGGTAACAATCTAAAACGGTAACGGTACAATTAAATTACTTGCGCGATGAAAAAAAAGAACCATCCATTTTCCTAGCAACTAGCAACCAGAACCATGAAATTCCCAAGCGCTCGACTCAAGCGTGAAATGTTTGAAGCCCTGCCTCTGGAGCTTCTCTGTCAAGCCCGCTAGCCCAGCAAAAACGCCCCTTCCCTTCACTCTATCTTGGGCCCATGGGGCCACTGGATCAATGAATCACATCAAATGGCTGCTGGAATAGGAAGCAACACAACACGCAACTTGAACCAGCTAACCTTTGGCCTTTGACTTGGCGTTGGGTGTGATCAGTCCAAGCTGTCCAAGCGACACACGCAAAACATGTGGTTTGGTGGACGGACAACCACGTCTCAGTTCTCACAGATCTGTCCAGCAAAGTGTCCAAGTCTCTCTCTCTCTCTCTCTCCCTCTCTCTCTCTCTACAATGGAAGTGAGGTTACTGGCAAGAGAGCGAGATAGGTGTCTAGAGGGTGAATCGAGGCGGATAAAACTGCCGAATCTGTGACAGTTCATAGTTACCACCATACGACCAGACCCACCCGGGCAAACAAACGAGCTGGATTCATCATCGATCCAAAATATTCATACCTCCTGCACAGTGCCCACACTTCGACCGCAGGCCTTCGATGTGACACTCCAGCGCTGGGAAGTTATATTCGAGGCACAACGTCCTGAGTCTGGGGCTTTGTGTTTCAGAATTTGTAGGAGTCTGCAAGTTGATCGACCCGAAGCCAGTCGGAAGCACGCATCCAATCCCATTATTACACAAATAGGTACCAGAAATAGCAAGAACAGCCAACCTAATCCATCCTGTTGGCATTCCCCAAGCTAGTGGGGACTGTCCTCAGGTGGAATCCTTCGGGTCAGGTTCAGATCTGTCCCAGTACAATGTCCTTTAGCGCACTACACCAGGATCTCCGCGGCCGAGCATCGGGAAGCTTGTAGGAAAGGGCCGTGAGCTGGCGCTGGCATTGTACCGGTTACTTCCTGAGACCGGTCGCTGGGAGCTAGGGTCATCCCGGGGCGTGAAGAAGTTGAGGTATCTAGTCCTGTTTGGGGAGGTTTTTGGGGTGAAGAACTATGTTCTAAGGCAGTGGCTCATAGTTTGTGGAGTCACCTCCCGGAACTGTTTGCCAGAATGCTATCCATGGAGGAAGTCGAGGCACCCCTGTCACATCCTTGACCCCTGGTTTCTTAAACTTTCATGTGACTGGTTCTTGCAATGAACGAACTCCAGCCCTGTCGTCGACCCGCGCACGTGTTGTATGTTGCGCGCGTGACGTCGCAAGGTTCAACAGCGGCTTGTTGTGGCCTTTGCTTTGAGCAGGATGAGGTGCACGAGGTGTAGTCGTAGGATGACCTGTCGCAGGCGTGAGGAGAAACTTTTACGCGCTGGCGCATACATAGCTTGTTTAGAGTTGTGTTGAGTGATGTTTACGACAGGTTTTTGGTCACCCAGCCTTGGGGTCAGGGGCATATTTGCTTCAGCTCTTTGTTGCTGACCTTATCACGTCCTCAGTATTTGTGCACAAGGGTGCAGGAGGAGCCATCTTACCATGGAGGGAAGTTCAACCTTGATAAGTATACGATCAAGCAAGCTTGAAAGCTCTCCCTGGTAGAACATTCTACACTCTGGGTGGTAGGACCATATGGATGTTGACACACCGGGCGGCCGGGTAGGACATGCTTGTGTCCCTGAGTGACAGAGAAAACATCCAAAGCCCAAACAGAATCCCATCCGAAGTGTCTCATGTTTATTTATATTGTTTCTCTATGGTGTCTATGTTCGTTTACCCTTGGGTTTTCTGACCAACACATCGCCCTGACAAACAGACCTCGCTGATGTAGAATGAATCACAGTGTAAGGGAACACGAAAAATAAAACTGATCATGGTCGCGTTTGCAGGACAACACAGTAACGACGCTGCAAGAAGGGTTGACCATAGACTATTACAACGACACGGCGTGAATGGTCGCATTTACAGGATGTCAAACCAAAAACTCTTCGTAACAATGCACTCAGGGGGTCTCAGGTCTTTCCCAAACGAACGGAAGCGGAATCCGATTTTTGCGGCATAGACTATTACAACAACACGGCTTGAAAGGTCGCATTTACAGGATGTTAAACCAAAAACTCTCCGTAACAATGCACTCAGGGGGTCTCAGGTCTTTCCCAAACGATCGGAAGCGGAATCCGATTTTTCCGGCGTAGACTATTACAACGACACGGCTTGAGTGGTCCCATTTACAGGGTGTTAAAGCAAAAACTCTCCGCAACCACGCACTCAGGGGGTCTCAGGTCTCTCCCAAACGAACGGAAGCGGCGTCCGACGTCTCCGGCATCCTAAAAGTGGAGGTGATAGGTCAGAGCTTCCAAGCACTTTCGTCTCCGGCCCTCTTGACAAACTAAA